GGCTCCCAGCCCAGGCGTGGGGAGGGCGGGAGGCCGCCAGGCCAGAGTCCCGCGAGGACCGACACGCTCCTGCTGCATTTTGTTTCTAATCTTCCCAAATCTCTCATCACTATGACGCAGTCCCAAGAGCAGTGAACAAGTGGAGCCCACCCGAACTGTGAGCTAGTGTCACCATTCCACAGGCAGGTCATGAAGCCCAGCTAGACAGACCCTGGGGACACTGGCAAGGTCTGCTGGTGAATCCAGGCACCGCCAGCTCCTGGCTGCCTGCGCGTCCCCAGGTGTCGAGGCCTCCAGGCAGGATGGGGAGGGAGGGCCGGCTGACCTCAGGGTTTTAGATCCAACGGCTGCCCCCTGGCCCGGGCCCCTCTCCCCCTCCCTGGGAAAGGCGAGGCTCACCTGGAGGAGGAGCTGTGGGCGGGTGGTGCTGGCCGCCCAGCGTCTCCGCCCAGGCCAGGGGTGCTGGACCCCAGCTCCGGGCCCCAGGGCCGTTCTGAGGTCTGGGGGTGGTGCCCGGCCCCGGGCCGGTGCTGGCCGGCCTCCCGCTGGCCTCCCGGACTGCTGCCACCACCAGCTCTGTGGGCGCTCTGGCCAGCTGCCCCGGGCTCGGGATGGCGGGGCGCGGGTTGAGCCCCCCGGCAGCTGCTCATGCACTCCTCCTCCGAGGCAAAGTTGTTGGCGTTGCCGTGGCAGCCACCATACCAGAAGCGGTTACACCGGCCCACGGAGGCGATGAAGTACCAGCGGGGGGCCCAGTCTGTGCAGGAGCCGAGGGCGCTGGGCAGCAGGCACCCCACGGGGTATGCTGAGGGCAGGAGCACGCATGTCACTCAGGCAGCAACGCGGCCCAGCAGAGCCCTGCCAAGAACCACCCACATCCCCTCGGAGACAGGAGCCCTTCCCGTCTACGGAGCAGCCTTCGCCCCTGCCCGGCCCTCACCTGGCCCTCATCCGGCGCTGGGGCAGAGTCTGTTCCCTGACCTGCCCTGGGCACAGAGCAGCCTCCGCAATCAGCCCAGCCACCTCCACCCACAGAGCCAGAGCCTCCCAGAAAGTCAGGCCTGGGAGCTCCCGGGACCGGCTCCCCCGCGCCCCTCCCATCCCTGACCAGGCCCATGGAGTCCACACCCAGAGCCACCCGAGGGCTTGGCCCAGCCCTGAGCTCCAGGAGCCTGTGCAGATGCCCAGCGAGGGGCCGTGACTGGCCCCTGCCTAAAGCCTCCTGCAGGCCCTGACCCCCAGCCTGCCTGGCCTTCAGCATCTCCGTGTGGGTCCCCAGAATCTCCATCCATGCATCCCTTGCTCCAGCCTCAATACCTCCTTCCAGGACTCGCCCCAGGCAGGGCAGGGACACCCCATCCACCGGCACTGACCCTATACCACCCCCACCTCCTCTGTGGGATCCTCTCCCCCACCCCATGGCAGCCAGGCGGCCTCAAGTGCAAACCGCTGGGAATGAGAACAGTCGGCCGTTCCCTGGCCTGGCACCTAGGAGGCTGTCGGTACATCCTGGTGGAAGAATGAACGAACCACTGAGCCCAGGGAGGTCGTTGGCGTTGAGTGGGGGCCAGCGCCTGCCCACCGGGCTGAGGAAGAGCATCCACTCACCGTAGCTGGGCTGGCCCACACAGCCTTCCCCAAAAGGGCCTGCTGCTGAGGCCACATTGTCATAGCAACAGCCAAACTGGGAGCCCCGGCACTCAGTGGGCTCACTCTGCTGGGCCTGGGGCTGGTGGGCCTGGGGCACCTGGGGAAGAAGTTGGGGATAGATCAGCTTCCTGGGGGGCTCTCAGGTGCCCGGGAGAGGATGGCAGGGAGCGGGGGAGACAATCGTGAGCCCACAGTGCAGAACCCCAGCCCCGGGGGGAGGTCAGAGGCCCGAGAACAGCAGACGAAACCCCAGCCCCAGACCATCTCTGAAGCTTGTGTCCTCGAGAGGGCGACCCAGGCCTACAGGCTTCAGAGACCTCCTCCCTCCAAGGCCAGAGCTGCAGCGTGGCACAGAGCAGGTTCCAGGCTGGGCTGGGCTCCCTCCCACACGTGAATGGGACACTCACTGTGGGGGCCACTGCTCTCGACCCCGACCTCCTCCTGTCGTCGCTGTTAGACTTTGCGCAGCCAGCTTGATGGGGCCCCTCGGCCACAGACACCCCGTCAGGGCAGCACCCATACCTAGGCAGACATCATAGCCCTCTCCTCACCACCTAGTCCCTTCCAGGGACCCTGAGCTTCCAGCACCCCCGGACTCCCTGCACTGGGGGCTGACCAGGGGAGGGTCCAGCAGGAGAGGCCGTGTCCCTGAATGCAAGGCATCCCATCGCGCATACCTACCCCAGACTCGGGCCTACCAGCCACTGAGCGGCCAGCAGGGAGGGCAACACTGACACCGTAAGCGGAGGGGCAGCCCTGACAACTGGCAAATCCTCCACTCACATATCCCACCACCAGAGCGAGGAGGGGAGTGAGCCGGGCCTGCCGGACCATCGGGCCCCCAGGGGGTGTTTATCAAACAGCAGCAGAGGGAGAAGGGGAGGAAAGAGGGTCAGGACGCCAGCACGCATTTCTCCCCACAGCCAGGACTTGGGAGGGGAGGTGAAAGGAAGATCGGATGAGAGCACCTTCCCCGTGCCAGGCGCTGTGGATCGGTCTCACCCTCACAGTCACCCCAGTTAGTGGCTGTCACTGTTCCCGTTCTCAGCAGAGGAAGCCAAGATCAGAGAGGTGAAGTCACTTGTCCAAGTCACCCCGCACACAGCTAATAAGTGGCTGAGCTGGGAGTCACCCGCAGGCCGCTGGCCCCAAAGTCTGGGTCCTTAGTGCCTTAGCCCTGCGGGAGTGGGGGCCTGGTTTGGACTGAAAGCTGAAACCCAACCCCCTGCGCCTTCCCAGAGCTCCGGCGACAGCTCCAGGCTGGCCTCTGCAGAGGAAGCAGGCCCTCCACCCCGACCAGTACAGCGCGACCAGCACAGCGCGACCAGCACAGCGCGAGGAAGCAGGAAGTGCAGCCAGCGGAGGCAGTCAGGGCTGCAGCCCCCTCTGTGGTCCCATTCCTGGGCTGTCCTGCCCTC